AAAACTTGATGAATCTGCTGTCACAACAATATCCTTCTTTGTTGCCTAGAAAGTAATTCACTAGAATAGAAATAAAAAAATGCTTGATATAAACATTTGTTGTTAGTGTTTAATATAAAAAAAATCCATAACAAAAAAAAAATTATCTTGATTGAATTATGTGATTCTTTCTCTTTAATTTTAGTTATGACTTAAAAATGCCCATTATTTATTTAGGATAATAGAAGAAGGCTCACTTTTTTTTTGGTTATTCTTTATTAGTAGCCGTTTGAATATTTTTTTTATTGAAATGATTGGTAAGCAAAGATTTAAAATTTAATAAAATGTATTTATTTTTAAAAAAAATTTAAACATAAATGTGCAGCTTATAACCATCATATTGTTCTTATGTTATGTCAATTGTTAAGATTTTAAAATACTTCTGGAAATCATCATAAATATAGCCATTATTATAAAATAAAATAAAAATATTATTCTACAAATAAGATCAAATATTTGGACAAATATGAATGCTTAGCTAACTTACATAATTTAAAATCAGATTTCAATATATAATGTAGTTATTTAAATATACATGTGTGTTAAACTCAAACTGAAGTAAAGTTTTTGTTCATTGCTTTCATTTTGTGAAATATCAATGTTTTTACATATAGTTTATGCTTGTGTTAATGTATTTCTAAACAATTCAAAAATTTATTTTGTAAATTCTACCATTAATAAAAAATGTTTTCATATATTCATCGTGGGGTTTCATTATTTAGCAATTTTCGGGTGTCAATGTCTGATTAACTTTATTTTTAATGTTTAATTTGTTTTGATATTTAACTTAAAAACATTCATGTGAGATATTATCATAACCTCTCATATTTCTTTCTTTTTTATTTTAAACCTCCTTTGCTCATATCTTTTTCCTCCAAATCTCACCTTTTTCACAACATAAACATGATGTTCAACCACCATTTGTATAATTAAAATATCTTTTAGCAATACGAACAGCTTTTTTTACCACATGTTTTACTTTTTTTTAATATAATCCACGAGACTTCTTTAATTGCTCTCAAGAACTTGGCTAATTTATTTAGAAAAGAACTAATTTAGCTGTCATCACTCAAGATTTTATGCAATTCTTTTACCAGACATTTTTAAAAAATCATTAGCCCTAATCTCTACTTTAATCTCACAAGTTAAACATAGAACATTCATAATTATGAGGTTAAAATTGTTAAACCAGGCTTGAAAGGTTGGACTTGAAAAATCTATATCCTCAAGCTTGACCTGCGCTAGGAATGAAGCTGGATGAACTAGCATGGCTGATTTATGATTTAATTGGCCGACCAAGCTCCATATGGTATCAAATTTAAAGAAACATTTCTTAAAAAGACAGTACCTTTGCAATAATAATAGATCGGTCAGTGCTCCGATTTCTTTTTTATACGAGTACAAGAGTATCTTTTTTCCGTATTTTAAAAATATTTTTAAAAAATTTAATAATTTTATTTTTTATTTTAAATTAATTTTTTTTATTTTGATATTTTAATATCAAAAATATTTTTTAAATATAAAAATATAATATTTTAATTTATTTTTAAATAAAAAATATTTTAAAAAACCATATATCCTTCACTTCTAAGAACTCCATGAAATCGTCAGCTATGATTTGGAACGTTACAACGACGGGAACCGGTAGGCGTCACCATGTGCGTCACAGTAAGCGATTACGGAACTTCCGTGTTCCAGTAGAGGAGGAGAGGAGGATTCCGTTCCACAAACTTCCACAAAATAATTCAAGGAAGGAAAGGCCCACCACCAAAACAAAAGATTCTTCGGCAAAGGACATATATTTCGCCCAATTATCAATTAGGCCACCAACAAAAACAAATACAAATTGAGCCCCTTAATTATCTAGTATTAGCCAATTAACCCTCATCTTAAGGCTTTACTATAAATTTTAATAGGGGAGTGATGTTTGATTGGTGAGGACCCAATTGGGAGTATATTTTTGTTTGGAGACCAAACCTAGAATCATAGGATAGTCGAGGAGTAAAAATGTACTTTGCTCCTTGCCCAGAGATTCTTAAAGCCACTTAAAATCCTCCACCTCTCGCACCCACTATTTATCACCCAGTAATCATCGACCACCCACAAAAAGAAGTAAATCATGGCTCGTGTCCCTGGGTTGGTGGTCTCATCGATCTTGTTCCTGCTATGCTGCGTTGCAGCGGGGTCAAGTTTCGATGAATCCAATCCAATCAAACTCGTATCTGACCGTCTCCATGACTTCGAATCTTCTGTTGTTAAGGTCTTAGGCCAATCTCGTCGGGCTCTCTCCTTTGCTCGTTTTGCTCACAGGTACGTTTCTATTAGCTATGATGATCATACAATGATCAAATGGTTATGTTTGTTTGTTTTTCTTATCCCACTGAATGTTTGGCTGTTTGAAGGTATGGAAAGAGGTATGAGACAGAGGGGGAGATGAAGTTAAGGTTTGCAATATTCTCGGAGAGTTTGGATTTGATTAGATCCACCAATAAAAAGGGCTTGCCTTACACTCTTGGTCTTAATCGTAAGTCTTATTTGTTAATTAGATTAGATCCACTGATTACTGTTTAATGGTTGAAGGTTGCATAATCCAAACATTTTCATGATTTTGCAGAATTTGCTGATTGGACATGGCAAGAGTTCCAAAAGTACAGACTGGGAGCTGCCCAAAATTGCTCTGCAACCACAAGGGGCAATCACAAGCTTACCAACGCTGTTCTTCCTGAAACGGTACTACTTTTCTTTATATATATATGATCCTTATTGCTTAATTAGTAAATACTAGCAAGTATTTTATCATGCGCTGTGTTTTGTGTGTATAGAAAGACTGGAGGGAAGAAGGCATAGTCAGTCCCGTTAAGAATCAAGGTCACTGTGGATCTTGCTGGACTTTCAGGTTAAAAAAATTGAAATTTGCTGGTTTCAACTCTATGTTTCATGCTTGTGAACTTGAGTATTTTTCTACTGCAGCACCACTGGAGCTCTAGAGGCTGCTTACCACCAGGCTTTTGGGAAAGGAATCTCTCTGTCTGAACAGCAGCTTGTGGACTGTGCTAGAGCATTTAATAACTTTGGCTGCAATGGTGGGTTGCCATCCCAAGCCTTTGAATACATTAAATTCAATGGTGGCCTTGACACCGAAGAAGCATATCCTTACACTGGAAAAGATGGTGCCTGCAAGTTCTCATCGGAGAATGTTGGTGTCCGAGTTGTTGAATCTGTCAACATTACACTGGTAAGTAGCAAGCACAATTCCCCTAAATAATATTTTGTGTGCATATTCTTTCTGGCACCTCTTGAGCAGGAAATTTCTCACTCGAGCTGTTGAGTTGGCAAACCTTGGTGTGCATATTTTGTGTTTGGGTTGGTTATTGTAGATGTACTTGTTTTCGGCATATGAGCATTCTTATACCTCTAATATTAGCATTGAGAGTAATTACTTCATTTGATCCATGTTGCAGCTTGAAGAAGCTGTGTTTTTCTAGCCCAAATACTCTAGAGATCTAATATTATACAATCCCCTTTGTAGAGAGTGGAGACTCCTCATTTCCTTGTTTGAATATCTGGTCATTCTCCATTTGCTACAAGAGGATGTTATAGTTAAACATGGTCTCTTGGGTGGTTCAGAATGTGGTCATTGATCATTTGCTACTCTCGAAACTGCAATGCTAGTATGCGTTATTAATATCATTTGAGGTTCCCTAATCTTATACTCAAATACAGGGTGCTGAAGACGAACTGAAGCATGCAGTTGCATTTGTTCGTCCAGTTAGTGTTGCGTTTGAGGTAGTAGGTGGTTTCCGTCTGTACAAGGAAGGAGTTTACACTTCCAACACCTGTGGCAGTACTCCCATGGTGAGTTCAACTATTTTTAGGGCGATAATCTTATTCAATGGAATTGGTCAGATGGTGGTATTGTTTCAATAAAATTTTGGGGGACATTACTCCTTTTTAAACTTCTAGAAACATCTAGTTTGCATTCAAGATTTGAAATGTCAAGTGACTGCATAATAACTCAACAACCTTTAACGCCTCTCATGATCGTTATTGATGTTATATTAGTTCAGTTACTTGTCCCGGCTAGATGTGCAGGTTGAGATAGGTAGCATGAATGGATGTAAACCATCAAACATATTAATATTCTTCCTGCTTGCCTACTTGAACGCTTGTTAGTTATAACATTTACATATGACGATTTCTTTCTGACATTCTCTTGGGTTTGTGGCAGGATGTGAACCATGCTGTTCTTGCAGTTGGTTATGGAGTTGAGAATGGTATCCCATATTGGCTGATCAAGAACTCTTGGGGAGAAGACTGGGGCGACAATGGGTACTTTAAGATGGAGATGGGGAAGAACATGTGTGGTAAGTCCCAACCTATATATAGATCGACTGTGAAACCACTTGAGGGAATATTTGATGCATTTGCAAACTGTTGAACTAACTGTGAACGGGCCCCATTGAAATGTGATGCCAAGTTAATAGGGATTTCGACTGGTTTCGTACTTGAGCAATTGTTTACTTGCCTTTATGTTCAAAATGCTTATCCTGATTTCATTTTTGCAGGTATTGCAACCTGTGCATCATATCCTGTCGTTGCAGCTTGATTGTGAAGATTTGATGAGCTTGTGGATGAGTGGTTTGTGGTGTACGATACTCGTTTCAGTAGAGCATGTAATAGGAATTTGCATCCAAGGTGCATGCCCATGTGTGTTGATATATGAAAATAATACGCCCTATTTCCCAATATAATGTATAGACCCTTGTGCTACGAGTACCGTGATGTGGTACCATTTGCAGTCAGGTAGAACACAATGCCTTGTTTAAATCAATTGCAGCATATATTTTTATTAGAGAATGGATATGGTACCCAAAAACCAACCCCACTAAGGAATTCAGCACCATGCAAAGCAAAATGGCGATCAGAGACAACAAATCAAAACAGTGCTGAACGCTACCAAGATCAAACTGAAAGTGAAATTGATTAAAACTAGCCACATTGCTTGATTCTTCCATGCCATTTGATCCGTTTTGATATCATATCAGACATGGAAGGCATTGTTGATGTACATTGGAAAAGTTAATGCTCTTAACAACCTGCCCACCTGCTTGACTTGTATACACTGGAAACCCCAAAACCGTCTTTCCCCAATTTCTATCCAAGATCGGAAAAAAATGACACAGGTCATCACCCTGTAAGTTCAGCTTAGATATAAACAATTTTAACCCCAAAACTGTATTGTATACAATTCGTGATCCACCAATGCCTTGAAACATGCAAACGCTGCCAGCCTGCAAAGTCCATTAAGCAAAACAGACATCAAGAACTCACATGCAAGTAGATGAATAATTGATAGCAACTAAGATAGTTGTGAGCCTAAACAGATACATGACCACTTGGCATCAACATTCTGGATATACATCTTTGACTAGATGCTGGACATTCTTCTGAGATGTTCACTGATAGAGATGCAAATGTTAATGTAAGTAGTCCGTTTGTCTCCCTTGCATCATGTGATAAAATTGCAAGTACCAGGATCCACAACAACACCATAGTGTTCTACCTCATAAAAGACACGGGCCATTATTATTATGGTGATCCCTGTGGTTAGATTGGATGCAGTATTTCTCCACTTAAATCTGATATTAACTGATGCTCTCAGTTATTCATCCTAATCCCATTCTAGAAGTGACATTGCAGTTTCAGCAAACAAAATTACTTCCAAATCATTCATGCATCCCCAACTTAAAACTTACAACCAGTGGACAGCTAGAATACACATGTTGGTCATGGACATGCCCACTGCTCAATCCTCTTCTTGAAGATTATTGTTGTTGCTGGTCATTAAGAAGAATTTTAACAATAATATGAAGCCTTCTACAACCAATGTCACAAACTTAACAATCCTAAGACGCACCTGGTCTATCATACTGCTTTTTTGTTCCTCTTTTTCTATTTATTTCTGCATAAATTCTGTCCTATTCATGCTATTTCATACATTAGAACTCAGTACCTCAATGCCCACACTGACATTTGAGCTATCTAGCATCGGTTAAACATGTCACAACTCCAGTCACCAGAGCAACCACTTTCCTCCATTAGATTTGTTAATGCCATTAAACAATAGGACATGGCTAATAACAGACATCACCACACTAAAACTAGCTGCATTTCATATTAAGCAATATAAAGCATAATTAAGAAGTTTACGAGAAAAAACATATAATTACTGTCAGCATTATAAATATGTGAGAGGAAGTAACCAAATTAATTATCAACATCAGAAGTGCAAAGATGCTTTGAAGGTCAAGAAGAAAAATGCATACAGGTAGAGAAAAATAGAAATTTAACAAAGGCAGCATATTTGAAGCAATATTTGATTTGTTGATCTCACTGAAAAGTTAAAAACGACAAAGAACTTACTGTTTGAAACCGTCTTGTAGCTCATTTATGCTACAAGGTAGAGATGCATGATGATGGAACAGCCTTTTTCATTTGACAGCTCCGACAAGCCGATTTTAATTTTGCACCACATCCTCTTTCAAACTGCCACTGGGATGTCTGTATTTGTCCTCAAAGGAATAGCTTTCTCAAAAGATGACAAACCCAAGTTACGATCCTCAAATGCCATTTTCCTAATGCGATAGGCTTCATTAGGCATCCCAGCCTTCAAAAGGCAGGATATCAAAGAATTAACCGTGATGTTATCAGGGGCACACCTGGTTGCCAACATTCTATTAAAAATATTAATTGCTTCAAACATTCTTCCTTTCACGCAATGCCCGATAATAAGAATGGTAAATGTCACCTTATCAGGGTCACATTTCTTCTCTTCCATCTCTTTTAGAATCACATTCCCCTCATCGACATTGCCAGCCTTGCAGAACCCATCAATCACAGGATTGTACATAAATGGTTTTGGAATTATACTACTATTCTTTATTTGCCCCAGAAAATCACGAGCTTCATTAAGTCTATTCTCCTTGCAAAGAGCATTAATGAGAACAGCATAAGTATAAACAGTTGGAGATACATTTCTTGTTTTCATCACATTCCAAAACTTCAAGCCGTGGTTCACCTGACCAGCTCGACAGTACCCATCAATCAAGGAAGTGAAGGTGACTACATCAGCTGAGCAATCAAAATATGCCATCTTTCTGTACATTGCTTCTGCTTCAGCTATGTTCCCAATCTTGCCAAAGCCATCAATAAGAACATTAAAAGTGATCACATTGGGCTGAATCCCAGACTTCATCATCTCCTCAAATAAATTTGAGGCCTCCTTCATCTTACCTGATTTGCAAAACCCCGATATAATTGATGTATAAGTCACAATATCAGGTGAACAATCACTTCTAGACTGAATTTCCTTGAACAATTCACACCCTCTCTGTAATTCATTTGCCTTGCACAATCCATTTATAAGAGTATTATATGTGACAACATCAGGTAAACATCCAAAACTCTCCATATCCTTGAAAAATTCAAAAGCTCTATCCACACCCCCTACTCTGCAAAGACCTCGTATAAGAATATTAAAAGTCCAAGTGTCAGGAGGAGATTGCATTACCAAATACTCTTTAAACAAGTAAATGGCCTCGTGCACTTGATTCTGCTTAACCAACACACTCAACAAATTATTATACACAAATGAATTAATGCGAACCTCCTTACCCTGAACCTCAGCAAGCAATTTCTTAACCATATCAAAATCGCTCGCCTGCGCCATCCAAGTTACCAAAAATCCTAAAAGTTTACTATCAGGCAAATGCCCATCACTCCCCATGTAATCAAACACAACATTCACCAAATCATGGTGACCCATTTGACATAAGGACCTCATAAGCAAATTATAAGTGGAATAGCAATGATTGACATTCAAATTCAATCTACTGAACTCCAAAAACTTGACACCCACTTTTGGATTATTAAACCTTTTGATTACCTCAAATGCAATCAAAGGTGTCAACTTTTCACACAAATAATTCAAACAAGCATCCAAAGAATGTGAATTGACAAAAAGTGTGGAAACTACTTTGACAAACCAAGATTCTGGGTTTTGAATTACCTGTCTATCAGGGTAAAAGCGAGATCCTACTTGAGTTTGACCGTGAAAACGGGCAATGGCAATAGTGGATGCTCGAACCCTGAAAGGTCCAGTTAAAGAAAAGAGGGTCATATGCAACCCCACTCCACTACTGTATTTTAAAGCAATGACTCCTCTTTGAATACAGCCAGATTTTCTATTGGGTCTCCCAGTTTATGTGGGTTTTTTTCGTTAAAATCTGTGCACGTCATGGAGATAACGAAAAACCCACAAAGAGTCCCATAGCAAACCAAAATATGGTGACCCCAAAAAGAGAATTTCAATCAATTAACAACAAAAGTGGACTTTAAAGCATAAATTATACATTTGAAGTTGAAATTTGGTGTATTTGAATCAGTGCATGGAATGGAAATTTGCGGGGTTTTTTCTCAAAGGAATGAAGAAGACGCTGGTGACTGGGGAAGGGGCTCCTAAATGGAACCCATGTCATTCTGTGTTAGGGTTTTTCAGGGACTTGGAGTTACGTCACTAGTCTGTCAACGTAGCGAGGACAACCCAGGTTTAAAATTATATTTTCATAGTTTTATGCGGTTAAATATATTTTGATTTGTTTTATCTATCTTACCTTATGGCTTATCCCGTTAAATACAAGTTAAATTAACGAGTAATTTATATATATATATATATATATATATATATAAACTTAAACTTCTATTTAAAAACAAATTAAAAGATAAAAGATTAAAATTTACATTAAAATATAAATAAAAGTGTTTTTTCCATAAAATGCAGGTAAAAGTTTCATTTATTTTCTCATATTTTATTTTTATTTTTATAAATTATTATATTTTAATTCTAAACTTTATTTTTATTATATTTTAATTCACGAAAGATTGAGAAATGAAAAAAAAAAAAAAAAAACAGACTCTTAGATTCTGTATTTTAGCTATTAATAACTTTAATTTTGCTATTTATTCATTAAACTTTTAAGAGAAAAATTTAATAGATAGAAATGATTTTTACCTTCAATAATGCTAATATATATACTTGGAAAGTTTTTTTCAATTTGATTTTAAGATATTACACATTTTGGAGGGCCTTTTCGGTTGTTAGTAAGGTTATTATTCCTGGCTTGAGTATTGAAGGCCTAGCCTTTTACTATTTTTATTTTATATTTTACATTAAAATTCTTTTTTAATTAGGATTAATACAATAAAATTTAGAAACATCCAATTATGCCTTATTTTTTAAATAAAATCTGAATTTATTATGGTGATGTTGTTCCTTAATTTATATAAAAAATTATATAAATCTAATATGCAGGATTTTGTTTTTAAAAACAAATTTCTCATAAATATTCATTTAGAGTACTTAAAAAAAAACCATGTTAATTTTTTATGTAGTTTTGTTAAATTAATTATTTTTTTAATTCTTTGATACTTCATCAAAATTATCACAACATAATTTCTTTTATTGAGATTTCTTTCTCATATGATGCCAAATTTTAATCACAAAAAATATTTTTCTAATTAAAAAGACCGTTTCCAAGTGTTTTTGGGATTTAGCTTTGATTGATGAAATGCTGGTATTGAACGTGCAAGAGGATGAAAGGCTCCATTTTAGGGGAATGGAGTTCCCGGGCAGCTACGTACCCCTTGTGCTTGTGATTTACCTCATAAATTTGTCATTTTACAGCCTACGGGAGCATTCATTCAGTCATGCTTGTTTTTATATTTTAAAAAAAATTATATAATTTCTCTTATAAATTTGTCATTTTACAGCTTGTGCGAGCATTCAATTTATTTATATTTATTTTTTTATTTTAAAAATATTTAAAAAAATTGATATCTTTTTAGTTTTTTACTTTAAATTAATATTTTTTTAATGTTTTTAAATTATTTTAATATACTAATATCAGAAATAATTTCTAAAAAATAAAAAATATTATTTTAATTTATTTTAAAATAAAAAATACTTAAAAAACTAACCACAACCATACTAAAAAAACTGGAAAAAAGCTAATATTGGGCTACCTCTTGTGATAGCATCTCTGGGTAATAATGTTTATCCCCAAAATCCCAGAACGTAAATAAATAAATAAAAAAACCCTAGCTTTAGCTGATGTTTTCCCTTTCTTTTCTCTCCCCCTTAATTTTGTTGATGCACCTCTATCTCTAATGGCACTGTTTTCTTTTTCAAGAAAAGGAAATAACATAGGATGACTAAATTAACAAATCACAGCTAGCACAACCGTGCTTATGGAATCAAAACCTTTACATATTCTGATGATTAGGAATGTCAATTTGAGGATGCTGGGTTTTAATTGTCACAAAACACAATAAAAAAAAAAGTGATTAAATCCAAGCTGAAAATACTATTCTGAAACATACAAGGATACACTCATCTATGACAACTATAGTGAGCAAAAAAGAAAAACAAAACAAAACTCTGCAAGTCTTCATGAATACAATTGTATACATAAGAAAATCCTTAAAGCTAAATTACAATGGGCACACATGTCTAGTTTCGTCAAGAAAGAGACAGCCAAACACATAATTGTAGAAATCACTACCTTTCAATAATTCTCCCCCTCCACCTATAGCTTGTGTATCATACTTGCATGCTCTTGTACAGTCTGGACAGTAAGTGACCTACAAACAGAAAATGAAAACTTCATCTTCAAAAAGCCAGGGAAAACTAACTTGAAGCAATCATATTGAACACTGAACAAAAAGCCACATACGATTCCTATCTTGTTGTGCTTAAGGTTTGATTTCAAACTATACATTGACAACATGATGCTAGGAGTGCATGAGAGAAATAAACACATTGGCAACTACAAACCTCCAATAACTTTGGCTGGAAAGAGCTATCAAGCATGACATCCACACCATACATTGCCCTGGACATTGGACTATGCATCTCTGGATGTACTGTTGCAGCTGCCTCGAAAACAGATCGAATCATATTTCTCACTCTCTCATGGATATCCAACCATTTAACTGCAACATACACAGGAATCTACATTTAGTAAATGCTGTTATCCAATGGATAAGTTTCTGGTTGTGAATAACCATTCTCTTCAGGAAGGAAAGCATTAAGTGATGGAGGCTGTTACCTTGGTGCTCCTGTTCAAATTCCTTCACAAACTCCAGAGTGTTCTTGTGATTCAATCTTCCACGATAGTTCTGCAAGCCATTCCCAATTACATCAAAGTCAAGAAACAAATCTCGCTCAGCAGAAATGTTGGCTAAAATCCCAGTCAATTATGACAATGTGAAGGGGAAAATCCTCATTTAACAAAACTGGATGGCAAGATGCTTTTTTTCCTTTCTTTCTTCTAAATTCCATTTTCAACCTCTTGAAGCATGTTTATGACCAAAATATTTCAGATTTTGCAACTTCAATGCAAAAATGGTTAGCACATACCATAACAGTAAAGTGGGTCTCGTACTCAAAAAGGCTGTGCTTGTCAAGAGTGTATTGGTTGTTTGCCAACCTAACCTGAAAATAAAGATGAAATAACTATTTCAAGATAGGCATCTTAATAGAAGGAGTTTGAAAATCAGTTCCGCATCATTTGGCATCTTAGCAAATCAACAAAGAAAAGTTGCATACCCAGAAAACATCTGCAAGGAACAGTTCCAGAGGCTTCACACTGCGAACCAGTACTATATAACGGAGATCAAATTTCAAGCCTTGGAACAGAGCAGGATGCTCGATATATTTCTGGCATATTTTTGGACCAGTTTCCATCAGGCGGATAATAGCGGACAAATTATCTGTTACAGTTGTGTCAATAGTCCGGGCCATGTTCCATGGTTTTAAGATCCATAGGTTGTTCATTCCATCTCTTTTGCGTGCATAATAGTCTCCAATAAGTTGAGAGAGATGTGATTCTAAATTGTAAGTAGGTTGCAACCAATCAGGAGATCCACGTGCCTGTTGGATAAATGGAACTAAAAAAGTCAGTTATTATTGCAAAACAAATGCAAACCCTGGTCGTATGTTCTGATACTCATGCAAAGATACTGAATAATTAGTTTAATTAAAAACATCTGGAGTAAAAGAATGAAATTTTGGGGACAAAGCAGGTTCATCCGAGAGTGTGCATGCTTGAATTTATACATGCATTAGACATCTTGTCTTTACCTTTTGAATAGTCTCTGCCAAATGATGTTTCATGACAAGACAAGCTTCAAAAGGAAATTGGTTTATATATTGCTGATCTGTAATTCCAGCAGCTCTTTTGACATCATCATCCACCTGCATACTTGTCCATATAATGTCTGCATCCTTCAACTCAGTGGCTGTTAACAAAACAAATTATAACAGAAGCTCTGTTAGATCATGAAAAAGAGATACCAAACTTCTATATGTTTCGAGGGAAGGGAATAAAAAATGTGAGTACTGTAAAGGAAATTAAGCAAGTTTCCTTTGTTTATATCCTAAAATAAGGAACAGAGAAGAAATTTCTAAATTTTATTTTTGGTTCATAAAAACTTTCCAACCCAAATTAGGAGGACTGCAACCTTCCTTGAACCAAACCAAAGAAATTCTGCACTTCTTACATTTCCCTTGTTTTCCCAAGCATCTTTAGATTTCCGTACACACTCTAAGGTTCAAAATGCATTCACGTCTTCCCTTATTAATATGCACACATTCTATATTCATATAAAAGAAACCTCAACAAAACTAAGTTTCAAAACTAGTTGAGTGTTTGTTTTTTAAGTAGTTTTTTGCTTTTCTCCTGAAAATGCATAAAATTGATGCCTTTTGGGGTTTTTTTTTGGATGGTTTGATGTGCAATGTCAAAGATTAAAAACAAATATATGAAAAAATATCATATTGATGCATTTTTAATTGATAAACACCCTGCACCAAGGTTGTCAAAAACGCTTTTTTGACACAACACAAAAAATATAATGTAAACTCGGATCATAAAATCATAAGTAAATCTTTTTTAACTAATTATATATTGATAGTTCCAGCCCAGTAAATAACAGCATAACACAATTAAAACAAAAGTAAAATAAACAATACAAAAGTTTACGCACCTTAAAATACATAATTCATATATAGTTTAAGTAACTTAAAAATTATGCTAGGTCTATAATTAGTGCACGAGTTTAATATATTTCTTCATGATATGCCATCATTTCTTCTTTTCCTTTTTCAAAAGTTTAACTTGGCTTAGCATGAGTTTGTCTTTGACATTTATTTACTCATGGCTATCAAGGAATAACATAGTGTGTGGGTGTGTATACACACACAAGAAACAAAAGTGTAGTAATGATGAAAATGGCTTAGTTGGAGGACAAAGACAACACAACCTAGGATACATAACTATTAACAGAAACAATAAAAGAGGTGTCACTTAACTACTGTGTGCCTAGACTGGTAGACACGTGGTACTATCAATTGTGGACTAACACAGGGTCATCTAAAAAAAACAAAACATTTTCTGTTTTTGGGAGATGTTGAAGCATGGCAACCATATTTTTTCCTTCCTTTCTCATTCACCTCTCCTTTTTTAAACATAACACAAAGG